GCATAGCTGTCTGTCAAAATGAAAAACTCAACACTAGGCTTAACCAGTCAGTAGAACAGATATAGTTGAAGCCCAAATAAGCTATCTGGAAAATAAAAGAGAGGAAATGTACCCAGAATGGAAGAAAAAAGACAAGAAGCTGATAGAAAACGTTAAAGGCCCTAGGTCAATTTAGCAGGTGTAATGTCTGCCTGGAATTCAAGACAGACAGAAAAGGACAAAGAAGAGATAATTTGTTTTTAAATTGGAGCCAAATTTTCTTGAAGTATTGAATAAACAAATAACCATCATGAGTGAAGTCTCTCTCTGCAGTGTGTGTTAACCAGATCTAAGGTCAACATATTGATAGCATTTCAGACATTGTAACAAAAAATGTCTCTCAATATTATAGGTATCATTTGTCCAGAGATTCATCGATTAAATCAATTCATTCATGATGGAAAAAAATCTACAATCACTAGGCAACCTTAGATATTTATTCTAAGCTTTATTGAAGAGAAAAACATACAGAAGTGGCCAGGAAAATTATTCACAAAACAAAAGCATGACTTTTTAGAAAGATTGGTCAATTTAAGTAGATGGTTCTACATTTAGAACAGACAGACAGGTCAGTTCCACAGCACAGATCTCAATAAACAGACTCACATCCAGGAATGGGAGGGGAAAACACTTCACACTTGAGGAGAAACGCTAACATTCAAAAACCACTACTGAGGCAGTGACCACTCACACTTGACAACATGATGAGGCACAAATAGCCTTGGGTATATAAAACTTTGCCACATAAAAGGAAAAAACTAAACAGATTTTATAAGCTTAAAATAATAATAATAATAATAACAAACAATGACAGGGCAGGAGAGATGGCTCAACAAGAGAAGGCATATGCTGCCAAGCCTGAAGATCGGAGTTTGATCTCTAGGTCCCACGTGACTCCTGCTGGTGTCCTCTGACCTCCTCACTGGTGGCACGACACACAAGCATGCACACACATGCACACACATACATACACACATGTGCAAATAAATGAATAAAGCAAAAATTAAAAGACAACAGCATTATAAAATATTTGTTTAAAAGAGAAAAGGATCCATGTATGAAGAAACCCACAAACAACAAAGCAGTCGCATGAAGAGAAGAAACAGCAAATAAAGAAGCCAACCAAAAAGCTAGATTCGTGTCATAAAAGGCAAGCAATGCTAAATACATCCCTAAATCTCTCTGGTACCTATATCACTACAGACGAGGGTTCTTTAAAATAGATTCACGATGCCTTGTGATATATGAGATCATCTGTTATTTGCTATGTATAAAAATATTTCAACCTCATGGATAGTGTCTTTTGGGGAGGAGGACAAAGAGTTTATTTTATTTTTAAATTTTAATTTTTCATATAATAGTCTCTTAATAGTATTATTACAAGTAAGGTAGGGAGGCAGGGTCCAACTTATTGCTAGTTTACATAAGCTTTTTAAATCATGCTACCTGCGATCACACAGGAGTGTCACCATTAGGATCACAAGTGCCACAGGTGCTTCTCTTGAGTCGTTTGTCAAATCATGTGGTCTGGGTACTAACTTGGGATTCGCTTACTGCAAAGAGGACAAGTCCCTCAATCATAGGACTCATTTCATATGACCAATGACACCAGGTTGAAAAAAAACTATCTTTGTTGTCATTGCTGTCACTGGCTTTCAGTGTCTGAGAAGGCTCTCAGAGAATACTACAGAAGGAGTGTGTGTATATGCACATGCATGCAGGCGTGCACACAGGTATGCGCATACACACACACACACACACACACACACATACAAGTGCATGTGCGCGCGCGAACGCACGTGCACCATTTCCCTCCTTCTCCCTCTTGTACTATGTTGTAAGGTCTTCTTCCCCAAGTGCTGGTCAGATGGCTGCTGCCCCTTCCCCTCCTCCTTAACAGACCCTTCCTCCAGTGTGTCACCAGCTTTGTGCTAGAAGTCTTGACTCTGTCATCCAACCCACAGTTGGTGTAGAGGCTCAGACCCATGTAAGGGAAGGGACAGCACAGCTAATAACCGGCCCATGTGTGAGAGTCTCCAAGGGGATGCTGCTGGCAGTGGAGCTCTGGACACACCCATCCCTGCCCCCAGCAAGGTCCCTCATCCCTGAAATCACCCAGTGACCCCAGCAGGCATCTAATGGCTTCTTTCTAACCAGCACCATGGACACTCCCCTTTCACAGAAGTCAACTCCCTGTGGCTGTCACCACAAAGAAGGAGGAAGCCAGTGATCTCCCTGGGAACGAGCTAGAAACCTCACAGTGACCTTGTCAGTTTGCACCTCCAGAAAGATGGGTCACATTAGGGAGAAGGTAAACACAGGGGCTTGAGGAAAAGAAATCAAGACGTGGAGGTCTGTCGTTCTCTATGTTCTGGGAAGTTGTAGATTTTTGAAGTCGTCTCCATCCATAGCAAAAAGAAGATTCTTTGATGAGAGGAGAGAGCTACACTTATCTGTGCATCTAAAGGTACAAGTATTAGGATACAGTTAGAAATTATACTGGTTTCAACTCCAATTCATTCATCTATAATGCAACCCCTTATGCCTAAGGCTCAAAAGAGGGGGCAGAAGATTATAAGACCCAGAGGACCCCACTCTCTGCTGTGAAATGGTGTTTTCTATATGTGATGGAAGTTGCATCCAGAAAATCTTAACATGCTCACCCAAACAAAATATCACAATGACAATACCAGTGGACACGCCAACATAATGGAAGAAATCACATAAGATTTTGGCCTTGTGACCAATCTCATGAGATTCTTTAAAGTAAATACCCTAATAGATGAGCAGGCAGAAATTAGCTAGACTGCGTTTTGTATTTTCTGGGGACCCCTGACTGACACATAGATATGGAGAATTGGTCTCTGTATCCATGGATTCTGCACAGACAAAAGCACATTCTTATGGGAGAGACAAACAACTACCCACCACAACTTCCCTCCCTCCACAGGGTGCAGCTGCCTCTGAGAAGTGTTTGTCCAGACAGGCAGCATCTGCAAGCCTTCTGTGTAACAAGAAATGGCCGTGGATACACACATGCCATGGGATACACACATGATGCACACGATGTGCCTAACTGTTAGGTCAAGTAGACTCAACCCCACCTCTGCCGTATCCTCACTGAATCCCAGAAACTCCACAGGTTTAGGGAACATGGGGACCCTCATATGTTAAGACCCACAGTCTCTCTGAAACCTTCGGTGGAGAAAGTATTTGCTGAGGGAAGCATCTGCCCTGGAGAGCCACTGGGAGTACATCGGCACTGTTTAGAGCTACTAAAAATCTGGAGTTTGGCACAGTGGCTAGCATTTCCCTAGTGAAGTCCTCCATCCTCCAGCTGGGCCCTGGGAGGAGATCAATCACAGCAAGGTGAATGTGAGCACCTTCCAGAGAGCAGCTGCTCCGACACCAATCACCCAGCAGGACTCGGGAACCAGCACTTGGAACACTGCCTCCACAGGCCCAGCTGCTGCCATCCCTTCCTCCCTAAGCCAGGCTCCAAAACCTCCTCAGCTTTCCCAGGATGCATCTGAGCCACATCCATAAGGTGTTCCTAAGGCGTCTGCATCATGGCCACCTTGTGAGGACCTCCATTCTGGGACTGGGACAGGAAGTGGGGGAGTGGGTGGCTGGGTGACTGAAGTGGCATGTTTCTACATCCATCCTAAGGAACATAGTTTCCTTTTGCTAGGCAGCTAGCATCCAAGGTCTTAATCTGCCTGTCCTGTGGGGGAATGTGGAGGAATGGAACAGACTGTCCCTGTGTTGCTAAGGACAGCTCAGAAGTTGTGGCTGGGCTCTAGCCAGTGTGTGCACTGCCAACCCATCCTACACGAAGCCAGCTTCTTGACACCCATGCTGGAGTTGCCATAAGGTCATCCATCCAAGAGAGGGGAGGGCCGGGAGCCGGCACGTAGAGCATGCAGAAGAAAAAAGAACAATCTGGTGTTTTGTTGCTGTTGTTGAAGCTGGATGGAGGGCACTCCAGGATTCAGTATGCCAGCCTCTCTCTCCACTTTTCTGCACATTTGAAATTTCTATATTAAAAAAAATAAGGAAATCTCTCCTGTGAACAAGAGGAAGCGGAACTGAATTCAATCCACTGTCTCCCCTGACACCATTTCAGAATATCACAGTCACATGCGTGAAGGAAGTACCTTCCACATACACATTTGTTTTTCCCCTATTTCCATTAATATTTAGTATGCATCATTATCTCCAAGCCTTATGACTTAAAACAAGATTTTAAATAATTGATTAATACAAAAGGCGAACATGACCACACAGCCTTGTTCAGAACCCATCAAAGCTCTCCTTCTAGTCCTGACACAGACACATCAATATATTAATGCATACACCAAGAAGACCAGGCTACAGATCAATACACACCGATATGCTTGGGATACTTCTCAGAGGGGAAAACCCATCATCCTTCCAGACCCCTGGTGTGGTCCACGCCTCCTCGCCCTGCCCAGTAATGATTCCACTCAAGAAAGAATATATTATCCATGCAATTTCTAAAGTTTCCCCAAACTAACATGTCTTGAACCCTGGTAGAATGTGTGCTGTTCCTATGCTCCTGTGTAAGTATTTGCACATGCACGAAGAGATCTTAGTGGCTGAAAAAAGAATCAGCATTCAGACTTTCAAAATGTCTTTGTTCTCAGTATGTCCTCAAGGGATGTCATCAAAGCCAATAGATAAAGGATGTGGTAGGACAGCCTTAGGAATCACTCAAGGGGCATGCTGGGAAGTAGAGCATGCCAATGCACAGCAGTTCCTGAGAGCCCATCAGCACACAAGCAGACACTATGTACAAAAGTCTGCCACCAGCATGTAGCAGACAATGTACACCACCTCCCGCCAATAGCTGATCGCTGGCTGCCACTGCCTCTGCCACACTCACTCCTCCACAGGCAAAGCACTGTCCAAGGCCACCTGGAGCTCCAGATGCCACTTACCACAAGTGAGAGAGGCCTTTTCCAGGAGACAACACCAATGAGTCCAGACAGCAGCACCTGGAAGAAAGGAGAGGAGAGGGAGGTAAGACACATGGCCATCTTTCAGACCAACTTTCACACGAAAGGACATGTGAAATCCATACAATACAACAGTGGTGTTCCCATGAGCTGGGTCTCCATTCCAGATGATTACAGCCCCCGTGGCCACACTGACCTGACTGCTCAAGGTAGCCATGCACTGCAGAGCTGATTGCATCATGTACTGCATTGCACGGTATGTGAGTGATGGGCTTCCAGATGCCCCATGAAGCTGCTTAGTGCTCCCCGGTCCTCTAACTTATTTGGCTTAGTTCTATAAAATCACAGAAAGGCTGGGAGACACCCTTGGAGCAAAGACTAGGCTACTCCTTACTCCTGACCACTCTGGAGAGTGATGCGGCTGCCCCTCACACAACTCCCCTTCAGGCCCTTGTGTTGTCAGCAAAGCTTCCCACCTTAATAACAAGCAGTAGCTCCTTAGACTGCTTTGGAACTTTCTAGGCACCAAGTCCCAGAAGCCCACCCCTTTCCTGAACAAGCCCTGCCATTATCCTTGTCCTCTACCCGACTGTCACCCTGCTTCTCTTCTCCCATGTCATCTTTGTCACGCTGATACACTGTGTGTGTGTGTGTGTGTGTGTGTGTGTGTGTGTGTGTGTACCTTAGAAAACCACTGTTCAAATGTGTGATGTTTATCTAGACCAGGCCCGTCTTTTCCTAAAGTCTACTTATCAGGGAAGACACTGGCTCTGTTCTCATATATCTTGGTCTCCTTGGGTCCAGGAATAACCAAAGACAAAGCTTCTTCCCATCCAACATCTGTATTCAGTTTCTACAACTTAACAGAAACTCTGCTTCCCAAGGTCACAGAAAGGTCACCAAATGCTATAAGGGACTGCTCCACATTGCCCATCAAAGGACTATCCACCAAAGAGATGCCACCCCTCCAGGCTCTGTAGTTTTCCATCACCTCCTAATCTCCCCATTTCCCAAGCTGCTCTCTTCAGCATCAATTTAGAGTCCTAATTCTTGATCCCAGGTACCCAAGACTTTTGTCTCCTCTTCTCATTCACATGGGAAACTAGCTATTATGCAGCCCTAAGAACCATCCCCAGCCCAGAGCTCTGTCCTACCTGCTAGGCATCACAATGCCTGTGGCTTCTGTTTCTGGTATCTATTGCTCTCCCACTCAGCACATTCCAAATGCATCTGAGGACATCACCTCCAAGACCTGGTGTTCCTCTTACAATCTCAACTTTCCAAATGATGCTACCCCTTCCTGGCCATCTCACCTCTCACCAGCCCACCCCTGTATCTAAACAGATGCAGGATAAGAGGCTCCGGTTTGCTGTTCCAGACCTTAGCATAAATAAGCTATTTGGACAGGAGATCCTGGAAAGGTGGATCGCACACACCTGCCACTGAGAGATTGGGTCAGGCAGCCAAGGACCCAACTGGAAGCCTTGGATACTGTTCCCCTGGGACTCCACAAGGGCCAGTCAGACTTTGAGGATCATGCTACAGACAGAGCTACAAAGTCTGCTTGGTCACTGCCTTAGTTCATACTAGAATGGGTATTTCTGCCACATAAACAGAATAAAAAACTGAAAATATTTATAGAAAAGATCTCTGATTTGATATTAAAAGGTAAATTAAGACGTCATCAACTGACTGGAAGAGACCCAGCAGAAATTATTGTACCTTTAACTAAAGGAGTAGAAGGTCCGGACCCTTTCTCCGGTAAGAGAAATACTTAGATTAACAATTATGGGGTAAATTCTTAAGTAGAAATAGCCAGTAAGAAACCAAGCAAATGGCCAACAGCTTCATAATTTAGCCTCCTGTGTGTTCATTTGGGACTGATGCAGCTTTGGAATCAGGCTGGCGGGAAGACTTCACTCAACACTTAGTTATTGTTCTATTGCTGTGAATAGACAAGACCAAAGTAATTCTTACAAAAGAAAGCATCTAATTGGGGGCTTCCTCACAGATTTAAGGGTTAGACCATGGAGATCATGGTGGGGAGCAGACAGGCATTGTGCTGGAACAATTTAGCCTGCATAGGCAGCAGACAGAGAGGGAGAGAAGAAGAAGGGGAGGGAGGGATGGATGGATGGGAGGAAGGGAGGGATAGAGGGGAGAGAGAGAGAGAGAGAGAGAGAGAGAGAGAGAGAGAGGGAGAGAGAGAGAGAGAGAGGGGAGACTGAGACTGGGTCTGGTGTGAGCTCTTAAATCATGAGAGCCCACTCCCAGTGTCACATCTCCTCCAACAAGGCCACACCTCCTACTCCTTCCCAAATGGTCTACCAAGTGATGACTAAGCATTCAAACATATGGACCTCTGGAGGTTATTCTCATTCAAACCACCACAGGTACAGGCTGCAGCCAGAAGAACCACATCTTACACCCCACAGGCTTTCGTCAAAGTGCATAAGTCCTCCAGTACAGACGTTGCAACCTTTATCCCCTCCCTGTGTCCAGTATCCTCTTCCTGATATTCTCTCTCTATTGCTGGGGAGGCCCTGGGCTTCTATGTCTCTGGCCTCTGGGCATCTGAATCTAAGTCTTGCCTAGATTCCCTAGAACCATGCACTTGACTTCTAGCTCTAAGACCCAAACATCCCCCACAGTCTCTGTGAGACCAGATCCATCATCATCAGATAGATAGACACTTAGTCTCAAGTCATTTTAAAGTTATGTCGCAGGGCCATCTCTCTAGCGGACATCTTGTTACAATTCCTATCACCATCTCCTGCTTGACTTTTCAAACTCCAACTCCACTCCTCCACCTCCAAACTCCCACCAAGATTGCCATCATTTTCTGAGCTCACTATATAGTTCAAGGGCCAAAGAGGCAAAGCTGGACTGAATCATCTGTATGTTGGGCCAATAGAATATCCCCTGCTTTCCTCTATGCCCAGACATTAGCATCACTCACTTGCCACTACCTATATGATAAACTGCCCTTAGGAGAGGAGGCTCTCCCTTTCTCACCCTTCACCCCTCTCTTCACATGTGCCAAATAAAGCTCTTGTGGGCCATCAACAGGTGAATGTCTGTAAGCCAGGAAGCCAACCCTCATGAGACACAAACCATGTTGGCACTCCACCTTGGCCTTTGTCACCTCTAGAACTGTGAGGGAAAAGTATTACATTATCTAAGCCACAGGGTGCTAATATGGTGTAGTAGCAACAGTTGGTTAATATGTAGTATGCATATCTGCATAACAAAATACCTGAGATAATTATACAGGGCACAGACGGTTTGCTGGGCAACCAGAAGGACTGAATGCAATCCCCAGTACCACCCAAGAGACTGCGATTTCAATGCATTGGCCTCTAGGGGATATTTAAGATCCAAATTACTGCATATGCTACTTTACCTGGAGTGGGGTGCTGGATTCTATAATATCTACCACTGTTTCTCCATACTCTAGACACAGCAGGCTTCCTCCTCCCGGTGTTAATGCAAAGACACCAGTTCCTGCCTCCCAGTGTTGATTCATGGGGGGAGTTCAAGGACAGCGAGGGCCAGAACAGTTCAGAGGAGGATGTGCAAGCTCAGATGAGGGAAGCTCCCTCTGTAGGGACACCTGCCCGTGTCCATTTGTTGCTCAGGGGAAGTAGACCTATTCCTCAGAGCACAGCAGAAAGAATTCCAGAGCCTATGCTCTGTCCCTTGACTATTGGTCTTAGTTTGAAGTATTTTTGCCCAACTCCAGCTTCCAGTGAGGAGCTATGGCATGTTTGGGGGCTTGGTAGTTTTGCAGGTTTTTTATGCCTTGCCTAAAAGGAAAAGGGTTGTGAATCAAGCTAGCTGTGAAATTGCCACGCAGTGAAACTGCTGACCCATTTAATTGACAGTTTTGTTCTTCAAAGTCCACAATTTGCCAAGAATATGGGAAAAAAACTGCAGAAGGTCAGAGAGGAGTAACATATAATTAAACAGCTGTGGAAAGAAAAGGCAAAAATGGGAGAGGCGGGGTGCTGCTGCTACTCAGAGAGGAGGCTTCACCTTTCAAGCATGTCGGTTACAAGGATACCAACTCGCTCTTCCCGCTTCCCTACCCAACCTAGGAGAGGCAGAGATAAAATTAGAATTGAGACAGAAGTTCGTACTGCAGACGGTGATGAAGAGGGTAATAGACTGTCAGGTAGTAATGGCCCTATTAGTGCCAGGAGTGTTTTCCATTGACGGTACCACGGCTGGCCAGAGAGGCCTGGAATATATGAGCTCTGCAGATCTTGTCTTCCTATTGCTAGAATGTTCCTTTGATGCCTACAATCAAGAATTTGTTCGGATCATCAGATCCGATTCAAAGGCAAATGATGAGGCAACATTTTAAGCAGTGGAGCTCGTCCTTCTAGAAGGAAGATGAGAGCCAATTCAATTACTTCCCCCAAACACATGGCAGGTGTGCCCAACAGTTACTGCGAAGTCAGCTTACCGCCAAGAAGCTCCATGCCTCAAAAATGGAGTCAGTGATCTGCCTGGGATGAATGATGCCTAGTGAGCTGTAACACACACAGTGCTTCAGACTGCAGTTCTGTGTCAAGTCATTCCTGGTCAGCTTCCCGCAGAGGGATGGACCCTCCTTTTCCTGCCTCCCAGCTTTATGTTACTCTGTGTGCCTCTCTTTGTCTGGCTCTCAGCCACATGACAAGGCTTGCCCAGCTGTGCGGTCCTTCATTCTGCTCTACCACCAGGAAACAAACTCCCCGTCACGCCAGCCCTGCCCATGACTCTGCCTCCTCTTGAACTCAATCCTCACCATCCCCTCTCACTACCAGCTACTTCCAGTCTGTGGCCCCAGCCTCCTCCACACCATTTCCTCCATGGTGTGGGAGGGGCTACACCAGTATACCAAGCTCATAATGTTCCAAAGAAAGCCCTCAGTGTGCTCTCATGGGTCCCGTCACTCTAGGGGACCAGATCTCACAGACACAGAAATCAGGTCCTGTTCTCTTTCCAAGCTCTGAGCAGGAAGGTTGAGTCGAGGCAAGAATAGAGGAGAGTAG